CAGAAATTCTATAACTATTGCTAATCCTGACTTTACAAGTAGACAAAGAGACTGAGTAAAGGACTTGAAACAATTCAACTTCAGAGGAATATAAAATCCAGTAAGGTTTATTTTAATGGCAATTTGAAGCAGAAATATAGGAAGCATGGGAACATAGGTGGATTTCATAAAACAAAGGGATTATGACAAAAAATGTTCACTAAGTTCTCAGCTAAATTAATATCAAGATGTCAAAGGACACAAAATGCACTTTTGCGATTCTAAAGGAGTTAACAAACAACTTTATGATTGGAGAAAAAGGTACAAGGTAAGTATAGTCTTAGAAAATGCTTTAAAAACAAAACAATGTAACCTGATTCCTTCCTTCTCTTCTCCATTACTCATAGAATATAGGTTTCCAGTAGTTATGATGGGATCCTAATTATTCCTAATCAGGAAAGCAAGGAACATGGAATTTTAAAAAGTCAGACTTCTATAGCCTGCTATTCTAGCATAATTTTTCTGGCTTATTATCCAAATACAATTAAACCAAGTTTGCTCTTAGGTTTACTACATTCAGGGATTCAAGCATCCACCACAATGTTCCTTTCTTATCTATTTACTAACAATTCCTTTAATATCCAGCATATACAGTGAGTGATATCAGAAGAGGTAAGTGGATGCCTAATGGAGGGAGCTCATTAAATGAGAGAGTAAAGAAAGAGAACACAAAAAATACCAAAAACACAGTTATTTTATGCTTTTGCCTAAGAGGCATGTTTTGTCCACCTTCAAATATATCCAGACAAGTATTAACAGCAATAGCCAGAACTGCAGAAGCACATACCTTAGTGGAACTTAATTTATTAAGAGTATGATGTAATCCACCCCAGTTTGCCTGGTTCATAAAAATGTGTTTTAGCACAGAGGGCCTCATTATAAAAGGAGAGCCTATCCCAGAATACTGCTTAGTCGATACATTATTATAATTACACAGCTTAACAAAGATCAATGAGATCTTAAAAACAATACAATTTTAATTGTAACCTGATTGTAAGATGCTCCCTTCTACAGATGCACAGCACAGAAACAGTTAATACCATACCCAGTTACAATGCATTTTTCATTGTATTTATTATACCATATGGTCATACTGTCCCATCTTATACCATATGGTCATAGAAAGTAGTATCAGGGGAATATAAGTGGTCAGAAGTAAATGTTTAATGCCAAAAGTATAAGCACATTCATTGGGTAAATATTTAATAAGCATCTGTCACTTACTAAGATATTCTATTTTGAGCATCTACAAATACTTACAAATATAGGACATGCAATTTGTTCAGTTCCCAACATAATTTTATGTTTAAGATGTTTGATAACAAGAGTAAAAGAAGTAGAAACAACCTAATGTCAAAAAATATGTATAGTTTAAAAATTGCAGTATATCTAATGATAGGTAAAATATTTTGCTATATAGTTAAGTTAAAAAAAATTACAAAACCACATACATTGTATTGTATTATCTATAACAATAAAAGCATAATATGCTAATTAGACCAGACAGCTGAACGACCTCTGGACAAAGCTGGGGCTGCCACCGTGCCTGCGAAGGCCAAGGGCAGTTTTCACACTGCAAGGGCTGAGCCCCTTGCACAAATTTCGTGCACTGGGCCTCTAGTAAAAACATAAGAACAGTATATGGATATACGTACATCAAAATGCTTATATAATTATATCTTAGTGGCAAGATAACAGATGATTTTGTTTACTTTTTGTACTTAGAGCTTTCTAATTTTTCAATAATGAATGTGCTTTCTCTCCATAATTAGAAATGTTTTAGTGCAGCTAAAATTTGTGAGAAACATTATTTTAAAAACATATTTCACTGTCAGGTAAGGTAAATCTTTAGAATAAAGCATGTAATTTTATGCAAGCACAATTTTTTTCATTTATTTCCATGCATGTGGCAATTAGAAGATCTCCTTAAATGAATATAAAGAAGACAGTTCAAAAGACAATAGTACATTTCAGCTTCCGCTGAATTAATACCAACTTCAAATTTAAAATTATTGCTTGAGCCAAAACCGGTTTGGCTCAATGGATAGAGCGTCGGCTTGGGGACTGAAAGGTCCCAGGTTCGATTCCGGTCAAGGGCATGTACCTTGGTTGCGGGCACATCCCCAGTAGGGGGTGTGCAAGAGGCAGCTGATCGATGACTCTCTCTCATTGATGTTTCTAACTCTCTATCTCTCTCCCTTCCTCTCTGTACAAAATCAATAAAATATATTTAAAATAAAATAAAATAAAATTATTGCTTGGAAAAATTTATTATACCACCATGACAATGAAATTTATATTAAAAAAACCCCAATTTTTAATAACTTATACTTCCCCCAGTCGAATACATTTATTAATATTATCGGCTCCTATAAAAAGTATAAAGGAAAAACTACTGTTCATTACTAAACATTAAAACCTGGGTGAAGGAGGCAGAGGGAAACACTTTTAACTAAAATTAATTATTCTACTTATTTATGCATTCATTGGTTGTGCCCTGACCCGGGATCACACCCAAACGTTGGCACATCTGGATGATGCTCTAACCAACTGGGCTACCTGGTCAGGGCCACAAATTAAAATGTGTTCATGTATCCTTAAGATTTCAGGAGATATGAATATGCTTTCCAATTATTGGCAATTTAAACTTAAATCCAACTGGCCTATAGGTACTCAAGCATTGATTCAGGAGAATTGCCTAGGAAGTGTACAAATGCAGAAACTTATGCCCTAGCTTTCACCTAATCAGAATCTTCAGAGGGTAGAGTTCAAACAACCTGGCCCTTTCAAATAAGATAATAGAGATGCTACTTTACAAATGCCTTCTCTATATCATTGCAAACTGTTCTAATAACTCTGAAACAAAATTCTCAGTAAACAATATATAATCAGAAAGTTACAATTTCATGAGCCATACACACTAATTTATCTATTCTTCTAGATACAATTTAACAAAACCATACGCCATCTATAGAGTAAAGCAAGCCTAGAGGCACCTGTGCCTGGTAAGACAAAGGCATATCCGATTCATGGAAAAAATAGACAGCAGATGTGACCCCTAGTATTTATCCATTAAAAACAATGTATTCTAAAAATAAATTTCCATGTCAACGGAACAAAGCTGTTTATAAATAAGAAGGAATGTGGAGGTGTGGGGAAGACAAGAGGAAGCTTCAGCAAGTTAAGTACCAAAAGCCAGGAAACAAGGCAAAATGAATGGCAATTGGGGACAAGGAAAACAGAATCAACTAGTGAATGGAAGAAGGGAAGAGTTCTATCCTTAGACTCCAAGAGGAAACCAAGCTGAGCAAAAATGCAAACTGTAAAGTGGAAAATGGTGTAATTTTGTTAAGAAAGAAGATAGAAGAAAATTTAGAGTAGATCAAAAGATGGTACAGAACACATCATGGGCATATATGGAGATGATCTTAAGAGGATGAAAAACAAAATATTTTGAACAAATCAATACTAATTAGAGCAAACACAGCAAATGAATTTACAAAGTAAATATGATGAAGCAGGAAAAAGAACTGCATAGGCAGAAGAAAGAATGAAACGTTGTGAGAATTGGGAAACAAAATGTAACTAGCAGGAAGGAAGGAGAACTTCGAGCACAGTCAACGGTGTAAGTCATGCAATATGCTATCTAATCAAGAATTGCAAAGCGCAGTTGTTATACTATATATTATCTCATTATTTGTAAAGTATAATGAAGTGTGTTATTTTATGTAATAAAATGCCAAATAAGAAATATGATAAACTTTATGTAATAAACACAATGTAAATAAACTCATTGGACAAGGTGATAAGAAGCTGAATAGTGCAAAAAAGAAAAAGAAAAACAGGCTGAGAGAAGCAATAGCTAAAAAGCAAAAAGTGGAAGAAAAGAAAAAAAAAACTGGGACAGAAAGAAGGACAACAGAAGGAAGGCAATCAAACCTATTATTTTTAAAAACCGGTAGGAATCAATAGAGAGGTGTGAATGGACAATGGAAGAACCACCACAAAGTGCCGGGAGTGCAAGTGAAACCTGATGGAATCTTGACAGCTTCAGGATTCTGAAAGTAATCTAACAATAGGTAACAATGTCGGGGAGCTGTGGAGTGTAGTCGAGGGCCTCAAAGAGGACTGGGGGCAAGAGAAGAGCAAAAAAAGTGGTCTTAAGTTAGGAGCCGAGGCCAGAAGGCAGGCGAGGCGGGCCGGCAGATGGGGATGGGATGAGGATGGGATGCGGGAGCACCGATCCACATTCGGAACGCAGGGTGTCCTGGGGCCGGGAGGAAAGGGAGAGTGGGAAGCAGGATTGAGGTTTGAAAAAAGTACAGAGTAAAGCAAAACCTAGGCGCTGGGTAAAACAGGTGAAGAGACATTCCCCCCCTCCCGACCCCCCCCCAAAAAAAGTAAGAGAAGTAGAAGGGAGCACGGCGGCCTGAAAAGGGGGACGGACGGCCAGGGAGAGCAGAGAGGGAAGGATGCGCCCCATCATCCCCAGGACCATGTCATCAGTACAGACACCACGGCAACGCCGGCCCGGCTCCCAGACCACATCTCCCCCCGGGATGCCGCTGCCTCCCGCCGCCCCCCGCCCGGAGTAACGAAAACATCGCAGAGATGCAAGCCTGGCCACATCCAGCCGGCCGTGACCTAGGACCAAGCAACCCTGGGACTCGCCCCCTACGGATCGCCGCCGGCTCCGCCGCCGCCTGAGGAAGCCCCCGCGCGGGGGTGCGGGCCGGGGAAGCCCTGGGCCAGGGTGTGTGTTTACGTAGCGGGGAGCTGAGTGACGGAGAGGGACCGGGGGAGGGGGAGGGGGAGGGGGGGACACCCACCTCCCATCCGCAGAGCACCCGGGAGCGGCTGGCTGAGGGCACCCGAGCCCCCAGCACCCCCTCTTCCCCCCCAAACAAACACCCGCCGGCCGAGCCGGCGAAAGGGTGCAGGGGGGCGCCGCCGGCACTCACCTCCTCGGGGATGGCGGGGTCCGCAGCCGAAGAGGCCGCGGCGCCGGCGCCGGCCTCGGGCTCCATGTCCCCGTTGAACAGAGCCTGGCCCTGCTCCGCGCCGCCGTCGCCGCCGCTCAGCGCCGCCGCCATCTTATAACCGAGAGCCGGGGCTCGAGCGGCCGCTGCTGGGCGGGGAGGGGGAGGGAGGCGGAGGGCGGGGGGGGGAGGCGGAGGCGGAGGCGGGGGGCGGCGGGGGCGACGGCCGGGCGGCGCCGGCGGCGGCGGGAGGGCGCTGGGCCACCTCAGGAACCGGCCCGCGGCTCCCGACGCAGCCAAGCCGGAGGGGATTGGAGGGGGGGCGGGGGAAGGGGGCGGAGACCACTAGAAGTCGCCGCGGCGGTGGCGTCACCCGTACGTCACGGCCGTTACGTCATCCCGGGTGCGTGACGTAACCCCGGGAGCGCCCTCGCGCCCCCGCCTGGGGAGGCTTCCTTCGCGTCCCGCGGCGGCGGCGGCGGTGGCGGCGCTCAGCGGTTTCTCTCCTTCCGCCGCCGTTTCCATGGCTTCGGTTTCCCCCGATCGATTCTCTCCTCTTCTCGGTCCTAAGCCGGTGCCGTAGCGGAGGGCTCCCCAGCCGAGCTGGAGGAGAAGTTGAAATCCTAGAGGGAGGAGGTTTCGGGGAAGCCCACACTGCTGTTATTTCCTGTGCCACGAACGCCCCTGTCACAAAAATTAAGACGTGAAACCCCGAGGTTGAAACTAGCGGCCGGGTAGCATTGGATGGAAACGTATTGAGGCACAACAGCCAACTTGTCAGGGGGATGGCGTGTACCCTCTTCGTGAACGGATTTGGCCTGTTGAAGTGAAGCTAGATGGGAGTCTCAAAGGTGTTTGGCTCGTTGTTTCCATCGCTGGGGAATAAAATGTTTCCTCCTAGAATGTTTTTCCGTTTCCCAGGTTCACTCACTGAACAAATGCCGGCGATGGAGCGCTTTTTCCAAGGGCTAGGGCTTTGCCCAAGGCACAGAATATTCTAGACATCTGAAACATCAACACTTTGATCATGTTTGTGTTGAGGAAAACCATTCAAAATATGTTAAATACCGTCGTGCTTTATTTTTATAGCAGAACATTCCAAGGCATTCTCTGTGAAAAAAAAAATGCGCATGGAAACTTATTAAGGAAGGAGAAGTAAATTCCTTGGGAGAGGCTCAATGACAGAATGGAATTAAGGAAACCCAGCTCGTTATTAAAAATACATATATTCTTAAAGGAAAGGGGGACTATTCAGGGAGGAGAAAAAAATTTTAAGGAAGGGAGAAATAGTAGTGACAAACAGTAGAAGTTACTGTAGCTCCTGATGGTGGAAGTTAATCGCTAAAGGAACTTAAACCTCAAGACATGAGAAGCCCTGAGTGGACTCTGCACTTTTGTGCTTCCCATGAATGGGGAGGTCACCAATGACCTCATCGTATTCAGGATGATTCAAGTGATAGAAAGCTGTCCTACTGACCCCTGAAGCAGGAGGTTTGCATATTGATAGTCAACATGAGCCTGGGAGCTAACCCTTACTCCCAAGGTAAGAAGTTTGCCAGGCTGCTTGGTTAATCAATATACCAATATCCCTCGACATTGAAATTTACACACACACACACAAAAAATCCTACTGAATGAACATGGTATGCTTTATTAGTATCATTGTATTTTCAAGTAGGGAAGTCGCCTAGAGGAACTAAATTTAAATAAAAAAGTGGCTTGGGCCGAAACCAGTTTGGCTCAGTGGTAGAGTGTCGGTCTGCGGACTGAGGGGTCCCGAGTTCGATTCTGGTCAAGGGGCATGTACGTTGGTTGCGGGCACATCCCCTGCAGGGGGTGTGCAAGAGGCAGCTGGTCGATGTTTCTCATGGATGTTTCTAGCTCTCTATCTCTCTCCCTTCCTCTCTGTAAAAATCAATATATATATATATATATATATATATATATACACAAAAAAACCCCCAAAAAAGTGGCTTGGAAAAGTAGAATAAATGAAGATGATCATAAGGAATAATGTCATCAAGCTGTAGTCTGAAGTGCCCTCTTTATTATAAGGATGTATTTCTAAGAAGACTAAAATAGCACAGTCAGCCAATTTGATTTCATCTGACACAAAACTGGCAGGTTTTTAAATTTTCTAACTGACTTATTTCATTTCTAAAAACCAGCCTCTGAAAATATTACATCATTAAAACATTGTTTCAAAAGGTTAAAAGTTCTAAGATTATTTTTTCATTTACTCCATTTTAAATTACAGTCTTCCTTACTAGAAACAATCTGTAAATTTTATTAAACATGGTTATTTCTTCATAGAATAGCTGAGATCCCCCATTTAATATTGCTTCTTGTTAGCTTCCATTTATTCAACACTTTTCTGAAGTTGTCTTCAAATTTTGGATATATTTTATTTGATTTTCCTAGGCCATTCTAACGCCCCACAATATCCAAATGGGAAAATATAAAGAAAGGATAAACTTTGGAATCCAAAGATCAGGATTTTAGTGTCAGCATGCCACATTTTGGCTGTACAACCTTGAGCAGGTAAGCTCGAATCACTATTTTTGTTGTTTTATTCATTTATTTTTAAAATTTATCTTTATTATTGAAAGTATTACAGATGTCCTCTTTTTTCCCCTATTGACCCCTTCTAGCCGTCACTCACCCCCGGCCCCATGCCTTCACCACACTATTGTCTGTGTCCATGGGTTATGTATATAAGTTCTTTGGTTAATCTCTTCGCATCCACCCACCTACTCCTGCCTTCCCTCTGAGATTCGGCAGTCTGTTCCATGATTTCACGTCTCTGGATCTGTTTTACTCATCGGTTTACTTTGTTCGTTATATTGTATATATGAGTCAGATCATGTGATACTTTCTCTGACTGACTTATTTTGCTTAGCATTATACACTCCAAGTATTGTTTTAATCTATAAAATGAGAGTGATAGCAATGACAGGCCAACCTATCTACCTATCATTATGAGGATAAAATATTATAGTTTTGCCCTTTATGAAATATAAAGTTACCATCTCAATCAGAATCCAGACAAGGCTTTTCTCTACTCCATGACTTCTGGGAGCTCATATGGAGTGGTGAGCCTGGGGGATGTTTCTAAGGGTTGCGATGGCAATCATCCGGAGGCATATTTCCTCACATGTTTGGTGGTTGAAACTGGGACTTCACCTGGGGCAGTCAGCCAGAATACCTAAGCATACTCTCTTCATGTGGCATGTTTTCCTCAGGGTAGTCAGACCTCTTTCAAGGTAGCCAAGAGCTCCAAATGTTAATGTTCCTGTAACCAAGGTGAGAGCTGTAATACATTATATGACCTAGCTTCCAAAGTCACACAGCATCACTTCTGCTGCATTTTATTGGATACAGGTAAGTTACCAAGTCCAGCCCAAATTCAAGAAGAGAGGATTTAAATCTTATCTCTCAATGGAAGAAGTGCCAAAGAATTTACACATATGTTTAATGTATAGACAGATCGTGTTTACAGTAATGAACTGGCTACCCTGTAGAAATGGCTGCTTATGTCACCTTCTCCAGAAGGGATTCTGTATTCAAATTCTCACTCTTATTGCTGGAAATCACCAAGACATGTCAGGATGCGAATGAAGAAGCCCTTTCCTTCTTTCGTTAGCTTCTGAAACCCCACCGCATGCAGAAATAAATGCAGGTCCTTCACCATGGGACATACCCTAAAAGTCTCCTCTTTGGCACTTCCATCGAGATCACAATGCTGCCACAGGCAAAGTTTAGGTGCTGCAGTCCTCTACACAAAGCAGTGGCACTGTTGTTCTTGATGCCAGGCTAGTTTGTCTCCTGAGCAGAATGAGAAAGCACACCTCCCCTTGTGTTGTAGTGTGTCATATGGGCACCAATGCAGTATTATCTTGCATTCTAAAGTCATAACATGCATTTTAGTCACCATTCTTTTAGGTTTGCTCACAATCCCTTTTCCCCAAAGGCATTCACAGGAAGCTAGAAAACAAATCTAGATGAGAAGCACTGTTTGGAACGTTGCTCCAGCTGATGACTGAGATACTAAGGAGTCTTGCTGAGATGTCTGACCCTCTCTTCCCTGGAGATGAGTTTATTTCTAATTGGCAGGCATTTCTATCTTTAATCCTGCGTTCTAGTAGACACGGAATAGTTCTGCCCGTCAGCCAGACCTACCTAGCTCCAACCACATTCAATGATATATAGGTAATAACAGCTTAATATTTTATGTATGAATCAAGGTCATCACTTCAAATACCACATCCTATATTATTTAATAGATGGCTACTCTCAAAAGCTATTAAGGTGTGAATAGAAAATTGAATCATGAAGTTGATTCAGCACAACCTTCCTAGTGAGAGGCACTAGGAATCTCCTTTGTGGAATTCCAGACTCCATCTTAATTCTTTAGTGATGGGGACTTCACTAATACCGTACATTGAAGCATAATTATTTTTTCTGAAGTTGAATTGAAACCCTCTTCTTATGATATCCATATTCTGGTCTAAGTTTTGCCTTCTAGAGGAGCACAAGATGAGCTTATTCTATGTAATTGCTTTCAAACGTTTGAAGGAAGTTCTGTTTCCTTTAGTTCTCTCTTCAAAGCATTTTCTCTTATTTCTGTGTACTCTTTTCAATGTTCCTCTTAAAATGTGGACCCATGAATTGAACACTATTCCAGATCTGGTCCAACCAGCAGAGAATAGAATCTCTTATTGCTATAATCTAGGAACTGTGCTTTTGTTAATATAATAAAAAACCATATAAGCAACTCCACCTGATATTGGTACATATGAAATCTGCAGTCAACAAAAACCATTGTGTTTTTTAAAAATAAAATCCTATTACACCAAGCCTAGGTTTTTAGTCTTTTTAGCATTGTTGTCATCTTTTCTACTGAACTCACATTTCCCATACGTTTTAATTCTTAAAGACCTTGCTTTTAGGTTCATGAAATGTGTTAGATATATTTCTAACATTTACCAAAAGATACTTGTATCAGTATGTGATTTCATTTTATAAAATCTTGCTTATACTACCTTGGGATGTGTTAAGATACAGAATTCTTTGAAATATTCTTTGTGAATTTAGTAATTTGAGATGTGAATTTTTTTTTTAAGTTTGCTTATATTGCAAGGTATAGTAGACTACATAAAGTATGTTACCTTCTTGTATGAAACTAAGGGAAACTGGTACCTG